TTTTCTTCTTTCTTCTTGACGAGGAGAGACCCGTTGTTGCATCTAGATGGCAGCTTCCTAGCTTTTAAGTTCCCAGTCGCTACTCGCCAAAGTAGTAAGTGGAACAATGTTTTGTATAGTATGTTATGCCAGGACCCAGTTTTGAAAACTGTACCAGAATCTACTAGTCATCTCATATAGAAGAATGTAACATTTACTGAGCAACTACTATGAACCAATTACTATACTGAGTGTTGTAGCAAACACGTTTTTCATAAAATTGGTCATCACAACAGATCAGTAATGCAGATATTAATGTCATCTCTGTTTCACAGATGAAGGATCCCAGCCTTTGGAAGGTTAAGTGGGTAGCACAGCTGGGTTTAGATACAGCTCATGTCAGAGCCTGAGTACACAGCTCTCTCTCACATGGTGGGGCACATGGAAGAGAGGGGTTCTACTTTGAAGTCATTATTGGTCCTCATCTGCAATGAATTCTCACACATGGGGTTACACCAAACTTCAGAGGTTCTAAGCATAGTCCTCTGATCCCCACAAGACTGCTCTAACACCAGACACCAGCTGCAAGCATGAAGGGTCCCAGGACACACTCGTTTCCAATCAGCTGGCTACAAGTGTCAGGTTCCCACTGCCTCCTCAGGTCAATAATTCTCCAGAACAACTCACAAAACCCGGGAAAACGCCATACTTACAGTTACAGTTTTATTATAGCAAAAGGATACAAATCAGAACCAGCCAAAAGGAGAGACACATAAGACAAAGTCTGGGAGGGGTGTGATAATGCACAGAATGTTGTCAACCCATGAAACTCAACAGAGCTTTGGTATCCGGTGTTTTTATTAGAATTTCATTGTGTAAGCAAGCTTGATTGAATCATTGGCCTCATGATTGAACTAAATCTCCAGCCTCCTTTCTTTCCCCAGAGGTTGATTTGTTGTCACATGGTGTATTTTTCTGGTGTGGCCAGCCTCCCTCACCCCACCCCCATTACTAACTATCAGATGTGCTCTGAGGGACCCACCATGAATAACAGAGACATTCCTATCACTAGGGAGATTTCAGGGGTTCAGAGGCTACCTTCCAGGAACTCATGACAAAAACTAGATACATTATTCATTATGTACTATTTCTGTACCACATACATGTATGTATTCTTTGTGGGGAGAGGGGAACAGGGCAGGACCATCTCCCAGGACTGGCTCATGCCTGCCAGTGAAGAAGAAAGACATACCTTCTGAAGCCAATAGCCCTGAAGGTCCTATTGGCCACTTTTTCATTGTAACCCTGTCAGTCAGGAGCCCACACGCAGCATGAAAAGTCTTCAAGGTCCTAAGTTTTTACCAGTGTCACAATAGCATTTGCAGAGTGATGTAGCTTTAGTTTTCATCGGAGGAAACTGAGTCCCAGCATTCTTTTCCAGAAGAGCAAGTTTTGTTAGACTCTGCAGTGGGGCCCAGGTGTCCAGCTCCCCCTCCAAGCACGTTCCCTTCCAAGGCACGTCTCCTTGTCTGGAGGTTTGCTGTCCTGAACATCTGCCTTCCAAATGTAAACCTCTCATAGTGCAACTTTGTCCTCCTCCTTTTTTTTTTTTTCCTTTTTCTCAAAGGAGTTGGAAAACTGCTGATTTTCCCCCCAGTGATCTGTTATCAGACATTCTGTCAGCCTCCTTTTCCTCAGGCTAAAAGTTCTTTGTTCTGGAAGGACTCATTTTCCAATCCAGTTGTCTGTGTTGACTCTCCTCCTCACCAGCCCCTCTCCTCACACCCCTTCTTTTGCCCTTAGCCCAAACTGAAAGTGTCCATGTTTTTCTCATATGTTTCTGACTCTGGTTCCTTTCCAGCACGTTTTTTCTTCTTATGGTGGTTTCACCTCTTTAAGAGTTCTTCCTTGACAGAACTTAAGCCACCATCATGACCAGTGTTGGCCAAAAAGCTCTTCAGTACTTGGCTCTACTGTAAACTTAGGTGTGTTTGCTTTCCCTTCTATCTTTGCTAATGTCCTTGCCTCTGTCATGGTAATCCATGACTTACATAACACTTAAAAATGAGGAAGGCAGGGAGAGAGAGGTGGGTGGGTTGGGGAGGTTCCAGACAACTGTTTCATTTATTTGGAACAATCTGTTTTGCTTTTCAGGTACTCAAATAAGCTGTTTCTCCCCAAGTTCTTTCTCCTGGCGTCAGGCTGCCTTCGTGGATTCTTATTGCTGGGCTGCCGTTCAGCAGAAGGACTCCCTGCAGAGCAGTGCTGGAAACCTTCCATTGTGGCTGCACAAGGTAACCGGGTACATTTTCAGATTTAACATGTCTGCATTACAGATGTGGAAACAGAGGCCCACAGCCACACAGAAATGTACGATGAACCAGGACTACAGCTCAGATCATGAAACCTTAGCACTTTCACATCAGAAGGAACTTTAGACATTATTCAGTCTAGCATCCTCATTTTACATGGGGTGGGGGTAGGGGGTGGTGATCAAGCCCCCCATTAGAATGGATGCTCTATAATGGCCCATCTTAGGTGTTCCAGTTACCCCTATATCATTGCCCAGCAGAGAGTCTGGCCCATAGGGTCTCAATACATTTCAAATTCCTGAGTGAACATAGCTTCTTATTGTTGTTAGGTGCTGTTGATTCAGTCCCAACTCAAAGCAACCATGTGTACAATAGATTGAAACACTGCCTAGTCCTGCACCATCCTCACAATCCTTGCCATGCTTGATTCCATCATTGGAGCAGTGGCTGCAATCCGTCTTGTTGAGGGTCTTTCCCTTTTTGCTGACCCTCTAATTTACAATGATGATACCGTTTTCCAGAGACTAGTCCCTTCTGACAACATGACCAAAGTAGGTAAGACAAAGTCTGACCATTCTTGCTCCTAAGGAGCATTTTGGCTGTACTTTCTCCAAGACAGATGTGTTCATTCTAATATTCCATGGCACATTCAGTATTCTTTGCCAACACCACAGTTCAAGTGTATCAGTTCTTCTTCAGTCTTCTTATTCATTGTCCAACTTTCACATGAAAATACCATGGCTGGGATCAGACACACCTTAGTCTTCAAAAATTACATCTTTGCTCTTTAAAACTTTAAAAGGGTCTTTTGCAGTGTATTTGCCCAGATGTAATACGTTGCTTGTTTTCTTGACTGCTGCTTGCATGGGTATTAATTGTGGATCCAAGGAAAATGATATCCTTGACAACTTCAGTCTTTTCCCATGTATCGTGATGTTGCTTCTTGGTCCAGTTGTGAGAATTTTTACTTTCTTTATGTTGAGGTATAATCCTTACTGAAGGCTGTAGTCTTTGATCTTCATTAGTAAGTGGTAAAGCTGGGTACTCAGACATAGCTTGTAGGTCCAGCACTTTTTTTCATGACACACAGGGTCTCTTGGAAAAGTCAGGACCAGCATAGAGTTCAGTTGCTTCTAGTTGATATATTCCTAGAGTATGGAGAAGGCCAGTGATGATTCCCTCTGAGGGTATTGACCACAGCACAGCTTTTGGAATAAAATCCTTTGCTGTCTGGTGGATCTGGGTATTATAAGGAAGGGAGTCACAGCTGCACAGGAATTACCAGTGTCCAGGTTCTTCTCTACAGAGAAGAAATACAGATTAGGAGGCATGTGGCCAGGGGATGGGGCCCATAGAAGGCTGAGCAGTGAGGAACTGGGGCTGGAGTTGGCAAGACATGCAGAAAAAAGTTCTCTTAGTAATGAAGTGACTTAAGTGTGCTTATAAAAGTGAGACTTTGTTTCAGCCTCTTATTATTTGAAACACTGGTTTCTTTTGTCCATCATGAAGACAAATAGAACAGTTGTAGATCTTCTGTTATTCTCATCTGCTGAGGAAAATAGATTTTTTGCTTCAGAAGAACCAAAGGCTGGCATTTGTGTGGCTCTTCTCCTGCTTTAATCTGCTGCCAGAGGCACAGTCAGCATCCTTTTATAAAAACAATCATTTGAGCCCTTTGGTCTGACTCAGGCCTGTTTCCTTCATGATTATTGATTGCAAGCCATTTTGGCGTAATGATGCTCCACAGTTAATCCTTCCATTGTTTTGGGTTGAGCCTTTCTCTTTGGTTTTCAGCCTTAGGGTTAGGTGGGTCTTTGTCAAATGTATGTGTGGTTTAGTTGCCAGGACAACAAGTAATAAAGGACTTCAGTATGAACAGGCACAATTCTGATTGTTGAACAAGTTTGTTTGCTCTAATGAAAAGTTGTAATCCATCAGTGGGCTGGGCATTGATGGATTCACAGTAGAATGTGTTACCTGGGATTGTCTGATATTAGAGTTGAGAAGGATGTTAGAGATGGTGAAACTCGTAGAGAGCATGAAGGAACCGAAACATATTTATCCAGATGAATTTTACAGGTAAAGATATGGGAACTTTGAGGGATCAAACCTGTGAGTCACAGAGCTGCTTACCAGCTGTACAGACTAGAACTCGGGTCTCTGACCTCTCAGGCCATTTTCCCCTCCAGTATAGGAGGGATAAATCTGGTAGAGGAGTGTGGCCAAGTCTTACATTACCCAGTATTGATAAGTGGTTAAGGAGCTCTGTTTCTGGCAGTAGTAGACTAGGTTGTTAAGATGAAACCATGGATGAAAAGCTGAGTAAAGGTCTTCTCAGACTTACAGAGCTAGAGACAAAATATAAGTAGGGACTTGCCAGGTAGGGTACTATACCCAAGGTTTTAGGTTTTGACGGTGACAGGCCATAACATGTAGAGGCCAGATGTGAATCATGTCAATACTGATTGAATTGAGATTTGGTATTGTTGTGTCTCTAGTCTTCCTGCCTTCCAGAAGCAAAAATAAATTCTCTCTAGAGGAAGAGGTACATATTTGTGTCCATTCCAAACAAAGGTGATCTAATAGAATGCAGGAATTGTTGAACAATATCATTATCACACACAAGTAAAATTTTGCTGAAAATAATTCAAAAACCAGTTGCAGCAGTACATCAATACAGAAATTCAAGCTGCATTCACAAGACAGTGTGGAATATGGGATGTTATTGCTGATGTCAGTTGCATCTTGGCTGAAAACAAAGAATACCAGAAGGATGATTACCTGTGTTTTATTGACTGTGTAAAGGCATTCGACTGTGTGGGTCATAACACATTATGGATAACATTGCAAAGAATGGGAATTCATTTAATTGTTCTCATTAGGAACCTGTACATAGACCAAGAAATAGACAGTCTTTTGAATAGAAGAAAGGGATACTGTATAGCTTAAAATCAGAAAAGGTATGCATCAAGATTTTGTCCTTTTACCGTATTTATTCAATCTGTGTGCTGAGCAAATAATCCAAGAAGCTAGAATATATGAAGAAGAATGTGTGGTGTCAGGTTTGGAGGAAGACTCATTAACAACCTGTGATACGCAGATGACACAGCTTTGCTGGCTGAAAGTGAAGATGACTTGAAGCACTAACTGATAAAGGTCAAAGACTACAGCTTTCATTATAGATTATACCTCATCATAAAACAGGAATCTTCACAACTGGACCTATAAGCAACATCATGATAAATGGAGCAAAGATAGAAGTTGTCAAGGATTTCATTTTACTTGGATCCACAGTCAATGTCCTTGGAATCAACAGTCAAGAAATCAAATGATTATTGTACTGGGCAGATCTGCTACAAAAGACCTTAAAATGTTAAAGAAAGAACAAAGATGTCACTAAGGTGTGCCTGACCCAAGTCATGGTCTTTTCAATAGCCTCATAATGCATGCGAAAGCTGTACAATGAATAAGGAAGACTGAAGAAGAATTGATACCTTTGAATTGTGATGTTGGTGAAGAATACTGAAAATACCATGGACTGCCAGAAGACTGAACAAACCTATCCTGGAAGAAGTACAGTTGGAATGCTCCTTAGAAGCTAGAATAGCCAGACTTAGTCTCTTGTACTTTGGTCATGTCAGAAGGGACCAGTCCCTAGAGAAAGATATTGTACTGGTAAAGTAGAGGATCAGCAAAAATGGGGAAGACTGTCAACAAGATGGATCGACACTGGCTGCTACAATGGACTCAAGCAGAGCGACAGTTTTGAGGATGGCGCAGGACTAGGCTATGTTTTGTTCTGTTGTACGTGGGGGCGCCATGACTCAGATCTGACTCAACAGCACCTAACAATAACAACAACAAAGGAAGGTAACATCATCCAAGGCCTCAAATTCTCTTTCCAATTTTTCACAGTTTCATACTCATTAAAAAGAACCAGGTATACAAGCAAACTAGGAGAAAAACCAGAAATAGAAACAGACCACGGGAAATTTAGATGATGGATTGTAATCAGACATGCATTGTGAAAAATCATTAATAGTATGTTCAAGGATTTAAGATAATAAGGAGTGTTTTATAGACAAGTGAAAAGTCTGAAAAAGAGTCAAATGGAAATTCTAGAACTGAAAACAATAAGTGAGAGAGAGTTGATTTTAGCTAACATTGATTGAGGGCCTACTATGTGCTAGAATCTGTGCTTGACATCAGAGAGCCAGAAATGACAGGATCTCTTCCTCAAGGAGCTTGAGGTCTAGTGGGGAAAAATAAATATATACCAGGGACACTGAGAAGGAATAATCAGAAAACCAGAAGGAAAATGGCAAACGTGGTTATCGTAGAAACCGAGGAAGAGTGTTTCCAGAAAGAATAGTGAACTTGTTGCTGTGAGAACCCAGTGTGATAAGTGTGAAACAGTTCATTGGGTTTAGCAAGATTCTTAGTGACCCTGGCAGGAATGATTTCAGTGAAGTGGGAGCCACACAGCAGTGGGCAAAGAGTGAATGAATGGAGATGAGGAAATGAAGATGATGGGAGCATCATCAGATTTTTGTTTTGTTTTCTTTTTTCAGAAAATCATTCTTTGATGGGACAAGGAAGAGAGACTAACAAGCTGGATGGTAGATGGAGGGAAGATGTGGGGTCCAGGAGGTTTAGAAAGAAGATAGTCTTGAGCATGTTTAAATGCTGATGGAAAAGAGAAGGTGGAGAAGAGGCTGAAGATGCAGGCACTCCAATAAGGACCAACCTTAAAGAACAAAAGCACTCCTTGAGGAGGGTACATAATTCCATTCCAGAGAAGGAATGTGGTGACTTGATTGACTATGGAGAGTTGTGGCTAGATTACATAGAACCTTTGAAAACTAAACAGGAGTACAGGCTAAATGCTGGACACAATAGGCACCATAACAGGTCCCTGGGTAGGTGAATTTGGTGTGTCCAAGAAGTAATCCTCATTGATAGTGTGCTGAAAGGAAGAAAGG